ACCACCAACAGAACCTTGCTCTTTTTAGGTTCTAGTGCTCTTCAGCAGAGCACTCAGGAGCCCACATGGATAGACATGTCTGATGTGAGTCAGGGGCATAAGCTCCAGACAGGACACAAATTCACATGTATCAAACATGTTTTGTGGGCTAGGGACCCCCTTGCTCACTATTCAGACTCTACAGAAGTGCATTGAAATCTCTCTTCTGGCTTTACAGACAGACTAGGTACCTAACTTAAGAGGCCTGGATTTTTCCCACTGCGATTTGTAACTTAGGTTATATTGATTTATTTTTAGCTGATAAACAGGGAATAAAAGCATATCTTATGACTCAGTTGGGTAAACATATGTTTTAGACGTTTTCCTATTATACCTAATAATACCTATTAAATTTATTTTTCATCATATCCTCTATTTTAGTTCCCCAAAATTCCTAATAGTAAAGTCACCTGTATGTACGAAATACAAGTGGATACAAAATGACAGAACTCACCCACATGCAACCTACATACCTTCTTCTCCACTTCTATAATTCCAGAGACGCAAATTATAGAATATATGCCTGCCAATCTCATATCTGAACTATGTCTGTTTTGCAGCTCACAAACTCTAACTATATGCCAAATGTATTTGGCATACCTTAATTCGTTGGTCAATGGCAATTCCCATTATACCATGCGTTCTCACAGACTGACATTAAATTTCAGAGAATTCAGGAAATGGAATCAAAATTATTTCTTTCGTATATGAAACTACAAAATTAATAGAGAAATGTACTTCAAGAAGAGACATTATACAAAAGTTAATAGACGCTTTATGAAGAGTTGACTAAAAATCTTTAAGATTTCAAGTACAGGTGCTAAATATTTTAAATTAAATACCTATATTATCTTCTATTGCAAAAGGTCAGTAGTCCTTTACCATTTTTGCTGATATTATACAATCATCAAGACAACATAGTCATTATGAACACACTCCTTCCTAGAGAATACTGTGTTTGGGGCACATCATTATATAGCAAAAGAGATTGATATTAGAACCTTCTATATTTGCAAAATAATGGCAAAGTGATGTGCAGGACAGCAGATGGGAATAGAAGAAAGTGGAAATCTCAAAAGTACAATGGAAAGGGGAAGCAGAAAGGTAATATAAGTAGTATGAGATAACATATCAGAAATTCTGTGCTTATGTTTATATTCAATATTTTTTATACAATTTGACAGGAATGCATTAAGAGCTTTCTACAAAGGAACATTTAAGAACGGTTAAGATGCAGTTTGTCAGCAGGCTGAATAGGAGCATAGAAAAATCATCTTTAAGCACCGAAGGCATCTGATCCCAGAAAGAAAGAGTATTTATGTAGTTCATATCCTGCAGTAAAAATCTGCAGTGGAAATCACAGTCACCTACACCAAGTGGCTGCCTATAGGTAGCGTCATCAAGACGACTTCCATTTTTGCCCCAGAATGTCCCCTGCAGGCTCTAACAAACACTGTTTATTTCACTGTTGCTGACTGTGAAACTATAGCCTCAGTGTGGGGAAACAGATGGAAAGTTAGAAGGAGTTGCTTAGATTTAAGTGGCCTGGACTGACAGCTTCTCAAACTGTCTTCATACTCTGAGTTAAGGGAACACTTGGAAGTCAGAGTGTTACTCTGAATGCTGACTTACCAGTCTTTTGGCTGGAGAACAACTCAAGATAAGTACGTGCCAAGCTGAAGCTGACTATATTTTATATCTGTTTTTTTAAATGCCTATTCCTGATATCCTAATCTTAAGAATTTACCCATGCAATTTTTCACTGTTTAATTTATAAGCTTGTCTGAAGCTATTGTGGGGTGAATCATGATTCAGCCAAATCAGAGGCATTTAAAGTAAATTAAATTTCTGAGGAACCTGTGTTCCAGAACATATTTAAACTTAATGGGACTCGAGTATATTCTGCAAGTCTACTAGGGACCAGTGTAATAAGAATATATGGATGCATGTCTCGGAAAACAGCAAATCCCCTTTTAGTCCAGAAGTATGTCTCTGACAGCAGCCAAAAGCAGATGACTAGGAAACGGAAATGTAGGACAAGCATTTATGATACTTCACATGAATACTTTCTCAGGTTCCAGCATTTTGTGGTTTAGGAAAGCCATGAGCCATAGGTGGTTTATGTGTTTTA